ACTTTAATTAATTACAGATCTGGATGAGTCAACATTAAGGGAGATTCCTGTAGCATGAAAAATGCTATAGACAATAACAGTAATCTGCTCTACTGGCAAACCATGTGCTAGGCCATGAGTGTAACATCCCCTGCTGATATGAAAGTGGCCTTCAGTCACTTCGATAGCATATACACCTGGATGGAGAAAATGTTGCATATACATATGTTGCAGTGTTTTACTTGGCTCGATATGTATGTATATTTTCAAATCAACAAACACTGAGAGACTTAATCTCAGAGAAAGAATGCGTAATATTTAGGAATAAATATCACATAACGAGAAAGATTCTGAGAGAAAAATATAGATATACTATGGTTGCACAAACTAATAAAGATCGCAGCTCAAAGGTTTAGTTAAATCTTTATCTCTCACGTTAGTATTTGTTCAAACGTTAAACCTGTCTTCATTGTTTGTAGCAAATATTGTAACTTGTATCCAGTCTCTTTTATGTAAAGTTTCAGTCAAAGACAAAGTAAATACAGGTATGGCTCCATGAAATAATATCTGATGAATTCTCTGAGGGAAATTAGGGTAACATGAGAATACAACAATAAAATACTTTTATTTGCGAGCTTTCGGCCCTCTTACCGGAGCCTTCTTCGGGCAACAATGTACCGAGCGATAAAAGTTCGTCAAACTGCTTTAAAATAGGCATCCAGGCAACATTCCTAGCAATAACCGACATCTGGTATTAAATTTATAAAACATATAGAATTATGACGAATATAGAATATAAATAGATTGTTTCAATATAATAAACATAAAGAAAATACAATTATAAGTATTATATAGAGAGATAAAAAAATAAAGGAATTTTTCAACTTCAAATAACACATTGTAAAAATTAAAGGTTTAATTTTATATCGAAATATGATGATCTTGCTGGGCCAGTGTTTAGTGATAGTTTACACACAAAAAGAGTATCGATATTTTAATATTGTAAACAAAAGTTAAATTCTTTTTTTATTTTAACACATAACACAATTTAAAATGGAGTCCCAGCCGATCGTTTTTAGTGGTTATCATGTCGGGATGCAGATTGAAGAATTCACGGTTCGAGACTAAACTCGTCTGAACCTACTCCACACTTTTAAATGTAGGCGTGTTGTAGAGGTGACAACCAAACCCATTGTTCGGTCTTAAAAGCTGATGCTATGGTTGAACACCTTCTCTCTGATCAGTAGTTCAAACCTAGAAACGACTATACTTAGCTGTTTAGCCTACGTGCGATTAAGTTGCTGTTCAGGATGAAAATCTCAACTTCCGATACATCTTACTACGGATTCCTACTAAAAGTAAAATGCTCAACATACAGTTTTAAGTTATCCTCATTTTATTTTATAACCTGTAAAAAAAATCCCATCGATAGGCTTAGTATATTACATGTGAATCATTACGATTATGAAATTAAATATGTCGTGAATAATGAAGGATTGTTTCTAGTAATGATACATGTTTGATAAATGTAAGTACGTAAATAATAGGTTATCCACTAGTGTGTACATAAAAGGTTTGATTTTTAGTGTGTAAAAGAGAAGTTATAGTACATAACTATAAGTAATGCATTTTTTCTTTCTAATGTGTAAATAGAACTTTTCTTAGTTTCTATCTTCTAGTGTGTAAGTAATACTTTTTATGTTATAGTATGTAACTATAAGTAATGCAAGTAGCGTGTAAATAGTGATTTTCTATCTTATAGTGTCTAAGTAATACTTTTTATGTTCTAGTATGTAACTATAAGTAATGCAAGTAGCGTGTAAATAGTGATTTTCTATCTTATAGTGTGTAAGTAATACTTTTTATGTTCTAGTATGTAACTATAAGTAATGCAAGTAGCGTGTAAATAGTGATTTTCTATCTTATAGTGTCTAAGTAATACTTTTTATGTTCTAGTATGTAACTGTAAGTAATGCAAGTAGCGTGTAAATAGTGATTTTCTATGTTATAGTGTCTAAGTAATACTTTATGTTCTAGTATGTAACTGTAAGTAATGCAAGTAGCGTGTAAATAGTGATTTTCTATCTTATAGTGTGTAAGTAATACTTTTTATGTTCTAGTATGTAACTATAAGTAATGCAAGTAGCGTGTAAATAGTGATTTTCTATCTTATAGTGTCTAAGTAATACTTTTTTATGTTTAATATGTAAGTAATTCATTTTCTAGTGTGTCAGTAGTACTTTTCTATCTTTTAGTGTGTAAGTAATTATTTTTCATGTTCTAGTATGCAACTAATACATTTTTAATTTCTAGTGGGTAAGTAACACTACTCTGTTTAGTACGTAGGTAACGCAATTTTATGTTCTAGTGTGTAAGTAATACTTTTTTATGTTTAGAGTAATTCATTTTCATATTATAATGCGTAAGTAGTACTCTTATATCTTATAGTGTGTAAGTAATCGTTTTTTCATGTTCTAGTATGTAAGTAATGCATTTATATTTTCTAATGTGTAAGTAGTACTTTTGTATCTTCTTGTGTGTAAGTAGTGTTTTTTTATCTTTAGTATGTAAGTAATTCATTTTCATTTTCTAGTGTGTAATACTATTTGTGTTCTAGTATATAATACATATATTTTCTAGTGTGTAAGTAATACTTTCTATGTTTACCATGTAAGTAACACTATTTTATGTTTAATATGTAAGTAATTCGTTTATATCTTCTTGTGCGTACTACTTTTTGTGTTCTAGTATTTAATACATAAATATTTTTTAATGTGTAAGTAATACTTTTTATATTTAGTATCTAAGTAATACATTTTTGTTTTCTAATATGTAAGTAGTACTTTTGTACATTCTTTTGTGGAAGTAGTACGTTTCTATCTTCTTGTATGTAAGTAGTATATTTTATGTTCTAGTATGTATATGATGCATTTTTATTTTCTAGTGTGTAAGTAGTACTCTTTCAAGTTCTAGTGTTTGTTTGTTTTGTTTGTAGTTAAGCACAAAGCTACTCAATGAGCTATCTGTGCTCTGCCTATCACAGGTATCAAAACCCAGTTTCTAGCATTGTAAGTCCTCTGACTGCTGTGCCACTGATGGGGGGGGGGCATGTTCTAGTGTGTAAGTAATAGTTTTTATTTTCTAGTATGTGATTAGTACATTTTTATTTTCTAGTGTGTAAGTAGTACTTTCTATCTTCCAGTGTGTAAGTAATAGGTTTGATATGTAAGTAATACATTTTCACTTTCTAGTGTGTAAGTAGTACTTTTCTATCTTCTAGTATGTAATACATATTTATTTTCTAGTGTGTAAGTAGTGCTTTTCTATCTTCTAGTATGTAATACATATTTATTTTCTAGTGTGTAAGTAGTGCTTTTCTATCTTCTAGTGTGTAAGTAATTCTATTTTATGTTCTAGTATGTAATTAATAAATTTTTCATTTTTAGTGTGTAACTAGTACTTATCTGTCTTCTACTGTGTAAGTAATACTTTTATGTTCTAGTATGTAAAAGTAAAAATGTTTTCTTTCTTGTATGTAAGAAAGACTTTTCTATCTTCTATTGTGTAAGTAATGCTTTTTATGATCTAGTATGTAAGTAGTAATTTCCATCTTGTAGTGTGTAAGTAATATTTTATTATTTTTTATAGTAAGTAAATAATGCATTTTGTATTTTCTAGTGTGTAAGTATAATTTTTTTATAGTAAGTAAATAATGCATTTTGTATTTTCTAGTGTGTTAGTAATATTTTATTATTTTTTATAGTAAGTAAATAATGCATTTTGTATTTTCTAGTGTGTAAGTATAATTTTTTTATAGTAAGTAAATAATGCATTTTGTATTTTCTAGTGTGTAAGTAATATTTTATTATTTTTTATAGTAAGTAAATAATGCATTTTGTTTTTTCTAGTGTGTAAGTAGTACTTTCTCTCATCTAGTGTGCAAGTAATATTTTTTATGTTCTAGTATATAAGTGATATATTTTTATTCTCTAATGTGTAAATAGTACTTTTCGATCTTCTTTTCGATTTCGTTTGTGAACAATAGGGTCTTACCTCATAGAATTGAATTAACATAGTTTTAGTAATCGTTTGATTTATCATTACATTCTAGTATAAATAATAAGTTTTTACCTTTTATGCGGAAACATTAAGTTTTCCTTCTGCTATGTGTATAACAGCCTTTCCTCCATATTTTGTGAATAATTAAGTTCTAGATTGTTTTGGTTCCATTGTAATATATTTATATTGTTGTGTGAATAAAAAGGTTCTATTTTGTAGAGAGTATATAATACGATTTTATCTTCTAATGTAAGATAAAATCTCAATATTCACATAAGATGAAAGTTTATTATTTACAAACTAGTGCACAAAAACCAGTTATTCATATTCTAAAATGTAAAGGCATAATAGGACTTTACTATTCACACATTAGAAGATAAAATCGTATTATATACTCTCTACAAAATAGAACCTTTTTATTCACACAACAATATAAATATATTACAATAGAACCAAAACAATCTAGAACTTTACTATTCACACATTAGAAGATAAAATCGTATTATATACTCTCTACAAAATAGAACCTTTTTATTCACACAACAATATAAATATATTACAATAGAACCAAAACAATCTAGAACTTTACTATTCACGTACGAAATGGTACGAATCTCCTTAGAACATATTTCTGGTATCCTAGACAACAAAAACGAAACTTTTGACCGTCCTAATAAAAAAAAAAGAAGTGTCATGCTCATAAATACTGAAGACTGGAACATTTTCAGAACAAATTCAACATACAATTAAAGGTGAAAACACTGCTATTCATATACTACGAAATAAAAACCTAATATTCATATACCAGGGGATGAATGTTTGGAAAAAAAGGAACATTTTATATATTTTAAGTCAAGATTAATATATAAGAACTGCATTTCAATATCTCTTCTTTACAATAAAAGGTGTTTCAAATTTTCCAGTGCCTGATAAATATATCAGAGAAAATGTTTTCTTTCTAGTATGTTATGAATATGGCTGATGATGATCCACAGAGAATGGACGAAATGAGAAAGTATGCAGCAATATATGGCCGATTTGACTGTAAAAGGAAACCTGAGAAGCCTTTAACGCTACATGAGGTTTGGACTATTTTATTAGTGTTATATTTCGGAAAATTGTATTTACTGAAGTTTGAGTATCTTACCTTCTTTAGTCGTTTTTATAGTTAGAACAGATCGATTTAAAGAAGTTTACAGGTGTACGTGTTGTGGTGGCTTGATAATTTTTTTTATTTGAACATTATGCTTGGAACAATTCAGTTTGTTTGTTTGTTCTGAATTTCACGCGAAGCTACACGAGGGCTATCTGCGCTAGCCGTCCCTAATTTAGCAGTGTAAGACTAGAGGGAAGGCAGTCATCACCACCCACCGCCAACTCTTGGGCTACTCTTTTACCAACGAATAGTAGGATTGACCGTCACATTATAACGCACTCAAGGCTGAAAGGGCGAACATGTTTGGTGGGACTGGGATTCGAACCCGCGACCATCTGATTGCGTGTCGAGCGCCCTAACCACCTGGCCATGCCGGGCCTAACAATTTAGTATGCCATACATTTGTTTAACTGCTTTTCTAAAATTTTGCAACAATATTGTGCAAGGTTTATAACTGTTCAGTTTCATTTTAAAAATGGAACATGTTATATTACACATGCATTTTTTAAAACTTTCCATCATGACAGTTTTTAATACAACCTGAAAACGTAATAATAAGAAATAAACTGCTAATGTTTTACGAAATAAATTACTCTTTTACAAAATTAGTTACTTAAAACTGCATTTTCTGACTGTTTGAGAGAATTGTTTCACAAAAACACCGACATGTGCATGCACCTCTCTTGCAGAACGAATATAGATGGTCGCTGATTTCGGATAAAAATGTACATAACTAATCACTTTGCTCCATGGCCTGTGATTACACAGATTAAAGCCCTGACCTTCTTACAATTCAGTTGAAGAGTGGTGATATGAATGAACAGACGGCGCTTAAAATTTACTTCTCTGATACGGTTACGTTTCATACAGAATTTTCGACACGAAGTTCTCTATTCCACAATTATAAAAGCATGCAAGGCGCGAGTTTTAAGAGCTTAGATGAGAGGATTGCTTGTAGCGTTAGTCGTAGAAGTAGAATAAGAGAAAGCATGATCTCTGTGGGGAAAAACAGGCTACTTTACGACCGGATTTATATGGCACACTGGAGGCAGTGAAAAATGTGAAATTGCTTGTGACCGGAAGCAGCTCAAGAACATAGTGGTTCCTTGCAGTTAAGATAGGAACTGCCCTTGGAAGTGTAAAAATTATAGTTCACACGGACTTAGGTCTACAAAAGCAACATGAGTTTTATCCAAAAGTACGGCCGCCGAACTGAAGACAATCTATCGAAAGCCGTTCAGTGGTATCTGGCATGTGCCAAATGAAAATGTGTTGTCATATTAGACAAAACGTGTTTACTTAAGAAACTGCAAAACTCTGTGCAATCTATTACCATTTTCCCAGTGATAGGACAATTTAAACATCTACAGAATATGTTTTGAAAAGTTTTCCAAAAGATTTATTGCAGCTACTGGTTACAGCTAAAATTTTGAGTTAAACATACATAGAATCGTGAGAAAATGCCTAACGTTAGCTTCATATTATCAGGTTAACGTGCTTACACCACTATACCACGGTTATATGCCATATCTGTATGGATTTGACGGCATTAAGACATGGCTCCATCAAGTCAAAACTTCCAGCCACATGCCTAAGTCAACACTTCCAGCCACATGCCTAAGTCAACATTTCCAGCCACATACATACCCAAGTCAACACTTCCAGCCACATACATACCCAAGTCAACACTTCCAGCCACATACATACCCAAGTCAACACTTCCAGCCACATACATACCCAAGTCAACATT